AATTTCTGAAGTATGTTATAAGTTTTTTTTATTCTCTGGATAAACGTTTTAGTGAAAATTGACAAGCACATTAAATTCATTTTAATTTTGTTATTAAATTTATTGTTAAATTGTTGATTACAAATTTACCATAATGATAATGATAATATAATAATCATTATGCAAAAAATATAGTTAATTATAAATTATTTTAGTAATAACAATTATAAATATATTGATTTGTATTAGATAAAGAGCAATTAATTTCTAACAACACTAATGTTGAGGTTGACACAACAAGTGATTCTGAATTGCCAACAACTGTTAATGAACTTACTGCAGAAAATGGGGTTAAGGTGTATCTTGTTGGGACTGCTCATTTTAGTAGGGAAAGTCAGGCAGATGTCATAAAGGTTAACATTTTCTGGCATGTTGAAACATTAAAATCCTGATTTTTACAGATTTTTTAAAAACAATAGTTATTAGGTTGAATATAATTAACAAATAAACATAAACTTGTATGCTCATTTTATTTCCATTAAGACTATAAGAAGTGTTAAACCAAATGTTGTGATGGTTGAACTCTGTCAAAACAGGGCAAGTATTTTATCACTAGATGAAGAATTGCTTATGAAAGAAGCCAGTAATATTACTTTTCAAAAAATTTCACACTCTGTTAAAGAAGTAAGATCTAAGTGGTTTTGCTTTTTTATGAATTATCTTCTTTTTCAATTTTTTTTATTATTTTGATATTTCTGTGACAAACTTCTATGATTAAACTGTTATTAATTCATTGAAATTCAATCAGAATGGTTTGGTGCAAGGCCTTCTACAAATTCTCCTGCTGAATTTATCAGCACATATCACAAAACAGTTAGGTATGGCTCCTGGTGGAGAATTCAGAGCAGCTTTCAAGGAGGTTAACTGAACAATGCTTCCCTCACTTTTTACCATTTGTTTTTCAGTAGTTAGCAATGAATATTAAAATTTTTTTATTGTACTGAATTTATTTTGGCCATTCTCTTGAAGGTTAAGACTTTACCTGGATGTAAGATACAGCTTGGAGATCGTCCCATCGCTGTGACACTGCAGAGAGCTCTTGGAGCACTGAACTGGTTTCAAAGATTAAAATTAGCTTGGTGCCTTATCACATCAAGTGGATCCATCAGGTTTTAAAAATAAACCCATTTTATATTTAATTTAACTTCAATGAATCTTGCACATGCACAATTAATTTTTTGCTCACAAAGATTTCTTGCTGATTTCACTAAATTTTCCAATAAAAAAAAAAATCTTCCAAAGTCCAGAAGATGTTGAGAAATGCAAGCAGAAAGACATGTTGGAAGAAGTGTTGCAGGAGATGACTGGGGAGTTTCCGGCATTGAGTCGAGTGTTTGTGCAAGAAAGAGACATCTACCTGGCTCACTCTCTTAAGATGGCTTCATTGCTCTCCATGCAAGACTTCAACAAACATCAGAGTGAACATGATGAAGACTATTGGGATGAAAATACCTGCAAATGTTTGTCTCCTCATTTCTCCTCTAGAAGAAATTTTCAACATTAAAATTCATTTATTACTTTATTTTCATAGATAACCACAGCGCCCCAACAGTTGTCGGTGTTGTGGGAATAGGTCATTGTCCAGGTATTATCAATGTCTGGGGAACAGATCACAATGTTGCTAGTTTATTAATGTTAGTCCTAGATTTTGATTTTTTTTTCATTTTTTTTTCTTCATTTTACATACGCCTTTAAATCTAATTTAAATGTATGAATGCCAAAAACAGAATACCCCCTCCAACCATGGTTGGGAGATTTCTTAAGTTATTCATACGTGTTACATTTTTTGGATGTCTTGGATACAGTTTTTACAGAATTGCCAGATTTACACATGGTTTTATTGTGTCAAATTATTCTTACATTTATCACATATAGTTCAATTTTTTCACATGTTGTGTCAAGTAATTAATTTTTGTATTGATCCAATCCAAACCATTAATTGTATATTCCGCCTGTTAAATCTCCATTTGTGAGACATTTATACAGTCCTGTGTCATGACACAATGCAGATGTACATTTTTTTAGGCAAAGGTGATTTTAATATTATGACATTCACACACTCTTGAATATACGAGTTATGTTACATTGTTGTATTTAATTCTCAATATCAATATGTTTTGAACAATATTTTTATAGTGTCAAAAAACAAACAAATTTACAACCAAATAATTTTATTCACTGGTCAACAAATATGGCCTCTCAGACCAGAACTTATTACCTATGATATCAGTGTTTAACATATTTATAATGGTTGACTTATTTTTATAAAAAATTTGTTTATCTTTAATGGCAAGGCTATCACTGTTTGTAATGACTTTTGTGTCTTGATCATCACCATTCATTTTTGAATCATCTTTTTTCAATTCATCATGTTTCTTTAGTTGGGACTAAGTTTGGTTATTTGTTAAGTTTTTTTTAAATAAAATTGGCAAACATTGGAGGTTCAAAAGTGATGTTATTAAAAAAATGTAAAATAGAAATGATTCAACAACAGAAAACAATAATGAGTACCTGCTGAGGTTCTCGAACAAGCACTGTACCCTTTCTGAACAGTTCTGGAATGTTGTTGTAATTTGTGTTGAACTGACTAAACAACATCTCGTTTTTATCATTGGCAAGCATTTTCTGTGGTTAAAAATAACAGATTGCCGTTTGAGTGTTTCACTCTACTTGAATGTTTTTATGACAAATGTGTGAACAGCAAGTAAATAATTGAATGTACTCCTTAAATGTGTAAGAGAAATAAACCTACCCCTAATTTAGTTTGAGCATCATTTGGTGACATGCCAGCTTCACTGACTAACTTCCAGTAAGCAGTGTTATGAAGGTTGTTTATGTGGCCTGAATGTTCAAGAAGAATTAGTCAATGCATTGTAGCTTAATACTCTGATATTTCTGAGAATTTTGTCAAATCATTAATATTATTTTGAATTAGAATATTAACTTATAATAAATTCCAAATAGATTGTGAAATGGTAACATAGATTTACATAGATTCAAGTTTGGTGAATATCAATAATGAAATACAGCAAACACTGATGCAGCTATGTACATAGTAGAACATTGTACTGTCTACTCCAAATTCAGATGAATATTATAAATAAATGCTCACAGTCAGCTTGCCTCCAGCTCAGGTAATCTCGAAGATTTTTATCAGTTGGGTAGAGAACGATTCGACCATCAAATGTTGGTGGATATTGAAGAGGTGTATTTGAAAAGTGGTTTGACCAGAAGAACACATATGAGGAAGTAAACAAACTCACTACTGTACTCAACAATTTGCTGCGAATGAAATAATTAAAAATACTTTACTAAATAAACTTTAGTATAAAATTTCTGATTTTCTCCATTAGCTACAGGATGATTGTTATAATGCTCATTTATATTATATTAAGATTTTCATCTATTTATGAAGTTTAAAATTGGTGAAATTGAAACACTTTTTCAACTGAAGTGAGCTCATAATTCCAAAAATTTTGTAAAAACTGATAAAAATACCTTGATCTTCTCTGAAAAACTTCTGTTTCCCTTCTAAAGACAAAACTAAATTCATCACTTTGCCCATAAGACAAAATGATATCATTGAAATCTTTCATAACATTCTTGGCACATCTTGCCATCAATGCTAAAGCCTGGTCATCATTGGGTTTTGCAAACTGATGGTGATCAGAAAATCTAGTTTCGTAAATTATCATTTGCAACATCTGAAGTTTGTTAAATTACAAAAAAGTCAATCTTGCTTAAAAAATACAAGCAAGAAAAATATTTTAAAAAATTTGGAAGAAAAATGTTGAATACCTATGAAAATTTCTGCCATCCAGACGAACAACAATCCAAGAATTCAGTAGGCACGCATCAAAACTTTCAAAAGATCTAACATATTCAAATCTACTTTTTGCCATATTTGCAAATGATAATGTTAATGTGAGTGATCTGGCAATAGTAATGAGGACTTTTGTGTGTAAAATACAAAAATCATTAACAATTATAAGTAGAAGAATGAAGAGAATCTTCGACTTTATAACATAGAAAAGATTATCGTTTTGAAATTTAAATAAAATAAAAGAAAATGATCATGCTTGCTGTCATACTTTTTCCTAAAATTTAACAAAGTTGAGACCACACCCCTTAAATGTAAATAAAATACACAAGTAATGAGGACTTTTGTGTGTAAAATACAAAAATCATTAGCAATTATAAGTAGAAGAATGAAGAGACTCTTCGACTTTATAACATAGAAAAGATTATCATTTTGAAATTTAAATAAAATAAAAGAAAATGATCATGCTTGCTGTCATACTTTTTCCTAAAATTTAACAAAGTTGAGACCACACCCCTTAAATGTAAATAACATACACACCTGAATAATTTTTCATGCAAACCACGGTAGAACTTGAACAAATTAGTCATGTGTATAAAAAACACGTTTAAACTTAAAAAACCTCAGCCGATCGCTCACCATTAAAAGTACTAATGTATAACGTAGGTGAACCTAGTCGTAATGTGATTTCATTATAAACACGCGCTTGATTTTTCAAAAAACTTTAAAAACTGAATGAACTGATTAAACCACAAATTATCTAGAAAATGTCAACATAATTAAACAAAACATTACCAGCCTGTTAACACTTACGCTCATAGATCAATTTATGAACAAATAATTTTTTTTTCATTATTATAACGACAGCAGTAGTAGTGATCATGGATATATATAATATAATATTGTTACAGACGTGAAGGCAAGATAAGAATTGGTAATTAGAAATTAAAGTGAAGCGCTTGATAATTTAATTAAGAGGCGGAGCCAATAAAAACCGTATTGTAAAATGTCGATGCATTGTAAAAGAAAGCGAGGTATAAATAGACCGACGACAAGAACGATAAGAGGGGAATAGAAAGAGAGGAGAGAGATTGGAGAGAGAAGTGCACGAATTAACAAGGAACGACGAGAATTACGAAGAAGTCAAAAGAAGTTTCAGGCAGTCCTATTATCGCAGAGATATTTTGTGTGCGTACTGCAAACAAATTAGCGATAACACCCAAGGAGAAGTTTGTCTCGAAGAATTCTACACGCGGTCTGCGAGTGAATTACGATAATCTTCCGAAAAGTGGATACTTAGGATTTAGGGTCTAGAAACATCTGACGAGAAGAGCTTAATTATTGACGATTAGTTTTATCCTGTGATTTAACTGTTGATTAGTTATTGTTTTGTAGTCTAACGATTTTAACGATTGAACGAACGAGTGATCGATTACGGCAATTGCCAGCTCTGTTTTCTTTCTAATAAAGTCATCTAAAATAAGTCTGTTTAGGAATCAAGAATCCGCGTAAAGAGAAATAACCATACCCAACAAGTTCTAGGGGTCGGTTATAACAATATATCCATGGTAGTGATGGTAGTCAGTGGCGGATCTAGACAACTTTGACCGGAGGAGCCCAAAATTTAAAAATGTTTAAATTCTCACAAAGGGGCCAACATTTTCACGGGGGTCAAAATTTGTGATTGTGTGGCTAACGACTTTTTTTGCTTATCACGTTCAATTTTTGGTTGATTTTAGCATTTTAGACCTATAACTGTCTTTTTTTGACTTTTATTAAAAAACTGCTCACAACGGGGAAGGCCAGTGCCTCACGCCCCCCTAGATTCGCCACTGGTAGCAGTAGTCGTAGAAGTAACCGTCGTTTTCATATTCATCACAATTGTAATAAAATCAGTATTAAAATAAATTTATATTTCAATTTAAAGTAATATATCTTATTTTATTTGTCTATAATACTTGCAGTGACTGGATTCGATTGCAGAGATCCCCGCCTCTCACAAGCAAACGTGTCAGGCAATGATGCACGTGAATGTTACATACGCTGTGTACATATTTTTTTATTGATGCTTCTGAGAAATAATAAAAAGTTAAGTTGAACAATTTTATTACAAATTTGAAATGAACAACTTAATAAGCTGTCTGTTTGCTATTAAATCATTAATGCCAAACCGAATATTTTTACGTGATTTATTCTAATTACTAACTAAAATTTCCGATGACATCACACTAATGTCACTTTATAATTATCCGACCTCGAATTGCGATTCTGACAAAAATCTCTGTGAATAAATGTGTATGTTCCTAGCATTTGAATGTTCTATGTCAGACTGCAGACATCTACATCGTTTGGTTTTTGAAAGATTAATGTTTTGAAACGACTCATGCAATCGCAACACCTAAGAGAGAAAGTTGGAAAGATGTATTAAAATGTATAACTTGGAAAGGAATATGTGTACATTGTTGCACATAAGCGTGCACATTTAAAAATCGCATCTCACACCTGAGCGTAGTGTATGATAAAATCGAACCGGATACGACAATAAAACAAGACACGCTAGCTCAGCTCCTCATGTAAGGTAAACATGGAAAGATCCTACAAAGTGCAAATGTTATTTTTATATGTATATATTCAAGTATATAAAACTTAAATGTGGTTGTTCGTCCTTAAAGAAATCGCCTTCTCTTCCTTCGCCTTCTAGTTAGTTAATTGTTAAAATCAATTGATTTACCGAAAAATTTTGCTAATATGTTCTTACATTATAAACGTGCGAGTGATGTTTTATGAAAGATATCTTATCTAGATTCTAGCCTACTGCGTGTAAACCACGGCGCAGTTGAACATATCGTGGAAAAGTACGGTTATTATAGCATTGCCATGATCGTTGTATAGACATTTTATGTTTTATAAACATTTCATAAATTTATTAACAGTGCTTCTTCCACAATATTTAAATTTATTTGCTAATAATAAATTTCTGTTAGGACAAATTCGCCAAGAAAAAATTTGTTTCAAATTCTTGCACGACGATCCGCAAATATTTGGCATATTTTAAAGTTGAGTAGTTGGCTCATTGTGTGTTGTTTATACTTTATACTTGATCATATATGTTGTGCATGGTTCGCTTCATGATTTGTGTTGTAGTTGTAGATCATTAATTTTTTCAGGAAATGGATTACATAATTAAGTACCAGCAAAAATTAAAACGCATTAACTTCTTCTAAATGTAGATTTATCAATTCTAAATTGCTAATGCAGCCTAACCATGTAATTTATCTTACTTTAAATAGAATAACGTTAAGTTTATTAATTAATTAGAAATAAAATTCCTAGTTGATGAATAACACCATTAATATTTATTAGATTTAAATTTGTGCGCACACGAATGATATGATAATTAACTTATTGATACAAAGCTTTATTTGCTTATATTATACAATAACTTTTAGATTGTATTCTATCTTCTTTTTATATTTATCAGCTAAGCCGTTGCGAGTTGCAATACGTTTGAGATGAGTATAAGCTGATATTGCAGTGATGCTTTTCATATCATCTGTTCGCTTGCGAATAACAATATTGATGATAGGCACGCACCACTAGTACGTTTTACTTCATACTTAACGGTCTATCATTATACTATTATTGATGGACTCTAATGTGTACAATTTATTGCACCTTGAAACATAATGACAACTATGAATTTTATTCGTTTGTTAAACGTTAATTTTTTTAAATAAATTAATGAGAGGAATAAAAACCTTGCAATTTCTTTACCCCTGCTGTTTATTACGACGATATAATGCTGGTACACTGGTAACAAATAGGAAAATAAAAAATAAACAGCTTCATGAAATTTTAAAGACGTCCGCAAAAAAGTCTTACCAAAAAAAGTTTATCAAGGTTTATCATTTTATATTTTAATATTTTCCATATACATTTAATATTATTAAATAAAAATTCACTCATTAACTATTTATCTGTAAATATTTCAAAGGTTATTTTTAGCCTAGATGCCAATATGTAGATTTTGTTTCAATGTTGTTGAAGATTTAGAAGGCTGTGCATGAGGAGAGTACTGGAGTTTCTTTCTACGTGTAGTAACTTATTCGTTACTAAACTTTTTGGTAAAATTTGACGTTAGTTAATTAATTATGATTGTATGTGTAAATAAAATAGATTAAATCATTTTCAAATTTATTCATTAAATCAAGATCTTAGACAAATTTAGTGTTTCTTTAATATAACGCATGAATATATTGATTAAACTCTGTACGACAGTTTTTGACCACTGTGAATCAACTTAACAAACGAGTTATACGAAATTTGGCAGAATCGTATCGGATCAACAATTAAAATTAAAAGCATCATATCAAATTAAACTCGATAAAGCCTACCTACTAATAAATGTGGTGAGCATTTATAACGAAACGAAACGAAACTTACATTATTACGTGTGAAGAAGCGCTGAAAAATTTAATTATCAGCTATGATCAGCTCGTACTCGTACAAATTCATCAGTCTGTTTTTGGGTGGTCTGGTTGGAATCGGGGTTGCAGTTGCCATTTACATTAGAAGTTGCTCAGAAAAGAAAGGTCTGATAGTTGTTTGTGTCAAGTAGTATTTTAAGAAATAAATTTTATTCATTTATATTTGTTATGAATAAACGTTTTCACGGTGAAACACTTTTTCATTTGTTAATATGTTTGCTAGCTGTTGCATGCTTTTGTGGAATAAAATAAACTACTAGATAAAAGGATGAAGCTTTTGAAATTTCTTCTCCAATATTATAAGTTTTTATATATGCGTTGAACATTGGCAAACATTATACAACCTTGCAACTATAACCGTCCGTTTGTGGCATGAATTAAGTTCATTTCAAACGTGTGTTATTGTCGGAATAATTTAACGTTCCAGTACAATCGTTTAGAAAATATATAATTATCATAACAAAATGCACATGTTTATACAGAGATTGTTAACATTTTCATAAAAAATGTAAACCCTTTTTGTAAAAATATATAAAAATTGTTGAAATTATATTTAATCTGAGCAATTATATAACTATTTACAGATGAGGTAAGCGGAGACCGTGCTGAAAAACATGAAAATGCTCTGAAAGAACATGAGTACAGTGACGAAGATAGGAGTGATGACAAAAATATTGAACACCTCAACAACCTGACGAGTAACAATAACATAAATTCAAGTTGTAACATCAATGACAATATCGATTGGATAAAAAATAATGATCGCCAAGATGAAAATTTGTTTAATATATTGCCTCCTGAAGAACTAATCAGTTGTGATAGTTTTGACAACCTGGGATTATTTGACACCGATCATTTAACAAATAAATTTGAAACTTTGAATAAATTGGATGACAACGAATCCATCGTAAAAGCAGGCAGCTGTTCCAAAGAGAATAGTAATCGCAAAACAAAAATACCTCAAATTAGTTTTAAGGATGTTTTTTCAGTCAAAGAGTCTGCACCATCTATCGGTGCATCTTTAGTTCATACATCTCCGAATTTTGTTGAGACAATCAAATGCAAATCCAGTAGACCACCATTACAAAACACCAGCAAACAAAGAGGCACTTCGAAAATTGCAAAATATTCTTCGAAAACAAAATCAAAACCTTCCGAAGGCAAAACTAAGTTTACGAGTTTCGACAACATTCTCAATGAAGACAAAGACGAACAAAGTTACCCAATAACAGAAACTAAACTATCACGTTTTGACGTTAACTATAAACCAAACTTAGAAAATTCCGCTGACAAAAACAAGTCTAAACTGTTATTCAAACAAACAAAGCCTATCCACAAAGCATCGCCTTCAACTCAAACATCATCCACTAATAAGTCACCAATATATTCAGCGAATGAAATAATGTACTATCAATCGAACCTACAAAAAAATGATGCGAAAAAAAAAATAACTACTAAGGAAAATCTACCAACATATCAAAAATTGTTTCCCAGGCCACAAAATGTAAAGACGGAACATTCAAAACCAATTTTTTCCACAAACAAAACAGTCCCAAACACATTCACGAAAGTAGACCAAGCAACGATTAGTACAACAATTTGTAATCAAACAAGGGCAGTTAAAGAGGGTAGAGATTGTATACCAACTTTGGTTACAAATTATAAAATTTGTGATGATTATAAAAAGAGCGAATTTGAAAATAACAATCATAACACCACTTATAAAGACAATAATACCAAGATTCACCATTACGAAGAAAATGATTATAAGAGTAAAAATTACGACATCCGCAATTTCAACCGTTCTTATCATGACAAAAATAAACCCACAAAAAAGGTGGATGAATGTTTAAATGCAGATAATAAGAATAATGACGTTAATGACAACGATGACCAAGGAGAGGAAGATGATGACGTCATTTCTTCGGTGGATTCTCTCATCACGGATCAAGACGGGACGAATTTGTTGGTCCGAGACGAGGATGAAGATGACTTCAGAGATCAAACAAATACATCAAACTTAAACCTTAACGACGTTTATGAAGATAGCAACAAAAACAATTCAAATAACATTGAAAACGTTGATCGCAATCACAACAATTACACTAACGCTTCTTTCGACGACGATTTTAGTGAACTATTTCGAAAAGAGCCAAATGAGGACTTTAATTTTTTCGATTCTATAGATGAAAGTTTTAAAGGTTTTAACGCCAATAAAGAATCAGACATTAGCGTAAATAATGATGGTGGCGATGAGATTGATAATAAAAAAGAAACTGGCCGAGAATGCGTTAGTGATTGTGATCGCGTTAACAATAATAACATATATTACCCTTACTACGATTATAAAGAACCATCTCTTTACTTCCCTTCTTTCAATAATGACATTAAACTAAAAAGCTTCACTGACAACGATAAAGACATGGGGACCGCCACCGAATTCGTAGAAGATGATAGTTCGAAAATTTCGTTAAAAAATAAAAATAGATTTAGTAACGACGATTGGGTTGTTAATAATAATTACACGAGCAATGCTTTTGACGACAACGAAAATTCAATGATAAAAATGAAAGAAGCGGAAGAAGAATTAATGCTAAATATTGCGATACAAAATGTTTGTTGGTTTAATACGAAAAATTACGCGTTTTTAATATTATTTATTGTAAAATTAAATCTTATTTGAAAATTTTTGAATTGAATATTGTTAACAGAACGACGTAGATGCCCTGTACAACGTGATCAAAATGCGAAACATCGAGAACACCTTCCTTCTGTCCAGTGCACTTTTGGCTTTAACAGAACTGGCTCAGTCTCCATCGTTTCATTCTTCCTTTGTAACGCATGTCAGTTACACGTTGCTTCTACTGGACATCTATAAAGATGATGACCACTTGAAGATCCACACAATGAATATTTTGCTGGAATTATCAAAATATCAGTCCATGGTACCTTACTTGTTGGATGCCAAAATAATAAACGTTTGTTTGTTCTGATGTTTCAAATTGTTATCAAAATACTTGAAATGATAATATGTGTGTTGAAAACTAATTGCATTCCTTAATTTATTTCAAACACGTGCTGATCACATGGGAACGTTACAAATTAAGTAAATTGTTGGATGCAAAAAGGAAAGTTTGAATATTTTTCTATTAAATTAGAATTTTTAATGTTTTAACATAAAGAAAAGGTTTTTTAATTTCTGTGATAGTTTGGTGACAAATACTGCAAGATAGAAATATTTTTTCGATTCTGACTGGTTTACTTTACATCTAAAAACTTCTAAAAAAATTTTAAAAATTAATTTTGATTTATTTTTCATTATATCAATTTTTAAAGGCCCCCAAATATTTCTTGAAGCTCTTTTCTATGAACGTAGCGGAAGATGTGCTGCTGACCTGGTTGGCCTTCGTTGCCAATTTGATTGATTACATCAAAAACGACGTTATACCACGAACTTTTCATGCATCACCACAAGACAACTCGCCGCTTCAAAATAGCAAATTGTTATCAACTCTGCAATCATCGTCATCGTCTTCATCATCTGGCGTGTCTTCGACTTCCTCATCGTCCTCATCTGCATTTAAAAGCAAGAAAAATAATAAAGAAATCGACCTTGAAGATGATCCAAGCTTGTATAACTTGCTTTACGACAACCACAGAAGGCCAATTGTAAAAAGGAAAGTCTATGCCCTGACGCATCACTTCAACACTCATATTACGCACATGGCGAGGCATATTTACTGTCGGATGAACTGATTCAATCTTCTACAACTTTTAATTTATTAACCACATGCATAGTATTTAGGATATCTAATTCATACGTAAAAATATTCTTAATAAAGTTAATTTTTGATAAGAAAATTGTGATACTTTATTATTTTATGTTGTTACTATTATTTATTAATAATTTAAACAATTTTTAGGTTTGTTCATTGGCTCACATTAACTTGAAAAATCATTTGCTTTACAAACATGTTCTTTCGAATTAAATCAATATTAAAAAGTTTTAATGAGATCTTTTTATTATTTTGCAAAGTAATACAAATGGAGTTGTAGTATTTCAACGTATAGTTGATCGTGGAATGTTTTCTTATTTATATTCACTGTCTGGAGTTACCAGCGCAAATTATGCCGTTTTGGTTGGTCATCAACGCCTCTTTGTTCTAGTTTGTGATCGTAATGAAAGAATTTTGTCTAAAATTTGTGAGTCTGTCAGTTCAATAAAAAAATAAGCCACCAAACATATATAAAATAAGTAAATGAATAAAAATGACATACAATCATCGAATCTCTGACTACTTCTCCATCACTTACGAAGTTCAGAGCAGATCTCAAGACCATTTGTTTGCAAAATTCACAGAAGAACGCTGTTGAACGTCGCGTAAAAAGCGCTTTATAAACTAATTGATTGTTTGTTCGTTTGATTGATAGATTAGTTGATTGGTTGACTGATTGATTGATTGATCGTTGATTGATTGATTGATTGATTGATTCATATCATAATAATATGTGATGTGATGTGATGTCATCATGTTTGTTAGAATCATTTATAATCTTTGACTATTCAGATGCTGAAAAAGAGAATTAAAAATAGAAGTAAGGGAATACCGAAATGCATATTCATTGGCTTTGCAGTTTTAACTTTCGGAAAAGTTCTTCATCAGACGAAGACTGAGTGAGATTTTTGTTATTTATTCAGTGATTTTTTAATGTAGGATTGATTGAATGAATGGCAATTTATGTTGTTAATAAAACATGAACGATTGCACTGGTGCTGTGGTAACGCTGCTAGGAAATTTTTTCAAAATTTGTAATTTTGATTGAAACAAAACAAGCTTTAACAAAGAAAACTCATTTTAAAATTACCATGACAATGACTACAATAATTTAAATTTTCAGTGGTTAGATAGCTATTATTCATTATTCTAGCTAAACTTATAATTTATACATAAAATTAATATAATAAAAAAGAATAACATCAGGCCAGCTCAGTGATGACCAGTGAAGTTACACAATTAACAAAAGAAGAGATGGAAGAGATGAGAAATAGGTAGTTTTGTTACAAATTATCAATTATGACAAATACATGCACTTACAAAAAAACACACACACAAGCACCCACCCACCCACACACACACACACACACACACACACACACACACACACACACAACACACACACATAGGTACAAGGCAGCTATGTTGTTGGGAGGTGCTGCTGATGCAATTGGGTTTTACAAGGGAACATGGGAGTTTGAGATATCTGGTGACAAAATTCATCAAGAGGTCAAAAAGATGGGTGGAATAGGAGCTTTGAATGTTAAAAGTATGTCTGTCTAAGTTCTTCTTCATTGTTATTTTTGTTGTTATTTTTTTGTTGTTATTATTATCATTGTTGTTTTCATTTGTTTTTCATTTATATTTTATTTTTTTATGTTTTCTTGTTTTTTTTTTCTTAAATTTATTCCCTTTCTTTTTTAAAGTAATCAAACTACATTTAATTTTTTATAGAAGTTTAAATTATTTAATTGAAAAAAGAAATAGAATGATTGTAAGTCACCTGCCTGATGATTAATTTGATCAAATAAAAATTTTTTTCATTACAGAACCTCAATGGATTGTGTCAGATGATACTGTCATGCATCTTGCCACAGCTGAAGGTAGCGGTGATTTTCAATATTTTTTATTTTCAATTTTTAGAAATTGTCAAAAAATAATTAGAATTGTATTTATTTATTTAAATATTTTATTTAATAGTAATTTTGAATATTTTGACCAATTTTCATATTATTTATAAAATTTTAGGTAGACATACCAGTTTAATTAACTGTTTCCTATATCAATCATTTGCATAGAGTTTAGATTTTATAGTGTTATAATGGTATAAAACTTTTTCTGTCAAAGCAAGAACTTTTTTTCATTCAGGTAACATTTATTAAATAAATGTAAAATAATAATTTTACTTAAATAAAATAATTAATATATTTAAATTTAAATTGCTACACAGCCATAATTGAATATGGGAAGAGCAGGTCTGGTGATATAAAAAAGTTGTACCAGATGGTGGCGAAACATTATCATGTTTCCATGCACGACATGAACGGCAGATCACCAGGTTCATTTTTTTTATCTATTTAAATTTACTCTAAAATCATTTTATTTGCGAATTATCAAGAATATTTCATTCATTTATCCCCCTTTTTAGTTTTTTAGATTTACTTTTAAACCGTTTTATTTATCATAAATAAATTTTAAATTTTATGAATTCTCTAGAATATGTTATTCAATTATTTTCAACCTTTTATTTGAAATCTGATGCCTTGTAGAGTAAAAAAAAATTAAGTATAGTAATGGGTAATTTTTGGTGAAAGGTTGAAGTGTGGTAAAAATAAACTATGATTATTTTTAAATATTTTTGTTTAATCAATGCTAATTCATGGCTGAAGGCTTATCAAGGCATATATTCACCCATAACATGTTTTTGTTGATGACGATAAAATGATGATGATAATAAAATGATGATGATAAAATGATGACAATAATTAAATGATGGTGATGATGATAACATGATGACATAATAAAATACTCTAAATTACTCACTTAGTGATTTTTGTATTGAAATTTATACTATCGTATCCTGTTGTAGGTATAACATGCACGCATGGCGTCTCACAGTTGAAACCAAACAGACCTGATGGATACATGATACCTTTCAATGACAAGTCACACTTGATTCTGAATCTTACTCTCTTGTTATGTTACTCATTTTATGTTGGGGTATCAAATTTTATTGAGAAAATATTGTAATTATTTTGAGTTATTATTTAAAATTAAAGGTTTCAATAAAATTACAAAAATGAGAAAAATTTCAATTTTAGGCTTATTAAGTTAGGCATTATATTTTTATTAAGATTTAATTGGGGTTGTTATGAGTTCCAACATTTGAGATATATCTATTGAAACATGAAAACTGAAATTTGACTATTAAGTTATAAAAATTGAAATATAGCGATGATATAAAACAACAGGGGAGGTGGATGCGGAGGTGCTATGAGGTCCATGTGCATTGGCATGTATTACCCAAAGTATTTTAATTATATTTCTATTGTTTTCATCTTTTAATTTTTTATACTTGTGTGTGTGTGTGTGTGTGTGTGTGTGTGTGTGTGTGTGTGTGTGTGTGTGTGTATGTGTGTATGTGTTTATGGGTAAACGTATTGCATTGAATGTGATTGGATGTGATTATTGGATAATTATGTGCCTTGGTGCAACAAATTAGTATCTACGCCGTATGTTGGGGTAAATAACTATTTTGAAAGAAATAAACGATTTTTGTCGATAATTATAAAGCTCTGCTCGTCTAGGGTTTTTACAATTCAATTAAATTAAAAAGTTTGAATAGGATTATGATTCAATGTCAGTTTAATGAGAAATTCGTTTATATTATAGTTTTTTGTAAACGGTCTTGAAAATGTAGAGTTAAAATATTTTATACAGACCTGAACAAATTGATTCGTTGGTTGCTCTGAGCATTGAGTGCGGTCGCATGACCCACAACCATCCAACCGGCTACTTAGGATCGTTAGCATCTGCTTTGTTCACTCACTACGCTGTTCAAGGTGTTTAACTTTGGCCTTTTCAAATTTTATTTCATTTATTATATTACAATAAACCTTTTATAACCATTTATTAGTAAGTATATAAATACATACATGATCTTGTGATGTCTTCAGTGACGTTTCTCTGAATTTTTGAAATTGTTATTATTATAGCCTACTTTTGAAGTTAGTCCCAAAAATCAAAATGTTTAAAAACGTTCATCTAGGAAAACCCGCTCATTGCTGGGGTGCTGGCCTGATGGAGACGTTGGAACTCGCATGGGAATATGTGAAGAAAGAAGGAAGAGATGTTGACAAAAATCAACTGCATTGGTTGGTCCAATGAACCATTCAAATTTTCTGTTGAAAATTTCGAGCCATGAAAATTTGTGGTTGAATTTTTTAATGTTTTAACGATTTTTTACTATCATTTTGAAGGAATTACTTTAAAAATGCATGGGCGGACTATTTGAAGGTGCGCGGTTTAACTGACGGAAAGTCACCACCGAAGTTTCCAGACGTCTACGGCGTTTTGGAAAGGGACAAGTTTTACAAGAAAGTAAGTTACAGTGGCTGGGGAGGTTCCTCGGGACACGACGCCCCTATGATAGCGTTCGTATCTATCTACTTACTTCTATTTTTTAATTATTTTCTTCTGTAGGCGACGTTTTTGAAGTGCAGATAAGTAGCACAATTTTTTGCCGACTGACCGCTAATTTTATAACATTTAGTTGTAAGATGCGCTAAATTTTATAATAATAGTTGATCAATAGTAGGGCCTGGAGACATTTGCGTCGTTGCACGATCGCCACTCGCGTTCGAAATAAATTGACGTACCTATAAAAATTTCCTGAATGAAATATATTGGATGGAGGACGACACTTTCGCTCTCGCATTCAATATAGTTTATGACGAAAAAAACAGGACATACAATTCCAATGTAAAATGTCCTGGTAAAATATTTTGTAAAATTAAATGATATTTATTTCATTTACCAGTCTTAAATTTCTTCGTTAATTTTTTTTATTGTCTGCTGTTTTAAATTTGACAGGCGGTTTGCTCTTTATAAATCGTTCGTCACTTGGTGCGAATAAAACATGTGTACCACGTACACTTTCACATTTGAATATTCGCTCAAAAACCGCACCCAATCAGCCAGCAACAAACAGCACAAGCAATAGAAAATTGCCAACCGAATTAGAAAACTAGCCGAACATTGTGACGTGTTAAGCAAATCATAGCAGATGTGTTCAGTGTTGTGTTCTTATCCTTCACTTCAAACTGATGAGTTTATAATAGCTGGATTGATGAGCAATTGATTAAACGTTTGCAGGTATGACGCATTTTTAGGGTCAGGAGATAGTTGGGAGGAACTATCGAATCGAGCATTTTTTCATGGTGGTGACAGTGACAGCACTGCCATCATAGCTGCCACATGGTTTGGTATCATGTATGGGACTAAAGGGGTCCCGGCCGGAAATTATCAGGTGAGTAAAAAAAACGTGAAATTTTATTTTTTGAAGAATGACATTTCATTTGTTAAGTGTTATGACATTTTGTTATAAATCGGTCAACTTTTGTTTATTCTCTAAATTATAAAATATTCTTTTTAAATCGCTCCGTAATAAAAAGGCGAATTAGTATGAATAAGCGATATAAAAATTAATATAAAACGCCAGCATATGAAGTATATGACCACTTGCACGCCTCATTTATGAAAAGTTTTGTAACATTACCAGCTCAGCATTCACGTTTAATTCATTGTTGGATTTTTCAGAACTTAGAATACAAAGATCGCCTTGAAGATGCTGGAAGCAAAATTTTTGATTTGGTCGAATATTTATTCAGCTAAATTTAGTTTTGTTATTTTTTTTATTCGTTTATATTATATATTTGTCTTTTTTTTTCATATTATTGCCCTTTTGGCATGACTACCAGTGTGCACATTCTAATCGATGTTCAAACGGTAGGTAGGTATAGGTACCTATATACAATTTAACATGACAACTTTTTGTTTTTTTTTAAATTATTCAAGTTAAATTTTTAAAATACATATAAAGTTTATTTTACGTTAAGTTCAAATGTTTTGCTCTGCTAATCATTAGATTTTAATTTTAACTTTTGAAACTATATGTTTAATTTTGGTTTGCGCATGTGAAAGTCGTCTTTTTTATATTGCTTGTTCTTTCTATTTGGGACACCTATTAATAGTTATAAAGTTTCTATATTTATGTTTCAAAAGCTGCTTATGAATTTGAGATTCCGATTTAAGCTTTAAATATTTTGTTATGCTTTGAATGATGGACATATTCTCGAGGGCCGTAATTTAACCATTTATATAACAATAGCGATATTGACTTCAGCTCGGCCTGATTATAATTTGCTTATTCAGCAATTACTTATACATAAACTTCTCAATTCGTAAACTTCTGCCGTTAGCTATAAATTTCAACTTCTCGAATATTGTGCAATTGAGCCAACTTCATTCCTAAGCAACACTCCGTGCTTAAATCTTTTCCTGCAAATCAAAACCGTAGTGCTCAACAGCTCTTTTGAGCATGGAAGATACATTTGAATTGAAACGAGGTACACGAACATATACATTTATTTGAAATAGCATTCGTGCATCTCAGCATAGGATGGATGATTTTCAGCAATCCATCTGGTTCAGTGCGCCTGCATCGCGGGTCCAAACGCTTTAGCCGTTGAACTAACTATCACATTGACAAAAATTAATGTTTTACTCGGCGAAGAAGAAAATGTTATCTCATGTAACATTTTCAAATCTGTTTTCACATTCGTGAACGATTTCCTAACAAAATATTTAAAATGCGGTGTTGGGTTGTCAAGTAACCTGTTTGAAGAGTTTGCTTAATAATGACTCGGCAAACAATTGATCACTGATTTGAAACAGATTTTTATTACTTGCTAGACGCTGCAAATGATTTAACCCAATGAAATTTTGTTGTTCTCGATCGGACTTGTTTTGATTTTCTGTTTATATTTATTTTTTGTTTAGGCTATACGAATACGACTGGATTAGATTAATTAATAAATTTCGAATTAACACTGAAATTTCAATATCGAAATGGTGCGAGCCCGTCGTGTATGAATGCTCAGGAATGAATAATATTGAAATAGGTAAAAATTACTTCAGTGGTGAGTCTGTAAGTCATTCAATGCCATACATTCTCATACATTCTCATATTTTATGTTCAACGCATATACACAGTTTTCGGCTTAAGAAAAATTGAATTACATGATATATAAATAGAATGAAGGATATCCTGGTGTTGGAACCAATGGGTGCTTCACATTCATACAGTTTTAGTAAAGGAAAGTGCAAAAGTGGGTGTGCTGCAAAAGTTAGTTTCGAAGTGTTTTTATTAAAATTGAAATATTTTATTTGTAGTTAAAATTTATAATTTTTTCATCATTTGTTAAGTTTCACGAGCCTGGTTTTGCAATAATTATTATTTAAAAAAATCAGTAGACATCAAATCATTCATCGTAAATGTGCGTTTTAATTTATAGTTTTTGCGTGTGTTGTGTTGTATATCATGTTACTTTATGATTTATATTCAAAGATATATATATCCATGTTTATATTTTTTCCATAAGCTTTAATTTTGTTTTGAATTTCATGCAAATATGTTGCTCCTTTATTTGTTAGGCAAAGTCAATCAAATTTCAACCGGAATATCCCTCAAAAGATGAATTAAAAAATAAGTAATTCATTTTTTGTTTCCATTATTATTTAACATTTTTCCTGATGAATAGTTGAAGAGGGCATCTCATTTACTTCTGATCCGACCGAGCAATATAACCTGGACTTTTGTTTCTAATTATTTGAGTGATAAAACCGTGAATTTTTTGTAGACTTTCGCATTATTCATTTGTCCCGGCGTTTGATGCATGCCTAGTGACAGGTAGGCGTTAGCTCTGTATAAAATTAACTCACCGTAATTTAATTTGTTGGGTATGATTCAGTTATATAATTATAATATGCTAATATTTTCGATGCTGCCTGCCAGTTATCTCTCATACTTTCAGAATAAATTTATTTTATATAAATAATTTGTGCGCAGTTTTGCTTTTTTAAAATGGCATTTTAAAATGCGGGCGGCTAAACTTTAAAGTTGGCAAGTCTTAAGGCAAGTGGTACGCCATAGTGACGCTTGATATTTGGAAATATAAATGAATTGTGCAAAATCTTCTCAGTCAATTCATATTCGGAACTACACTGAAAATTGAAAATGCTGTCAAACGAGTATCTACTTTTGCATAAAAAAATAGTGATTGTTATTCCGACAACGGTAGACGATTCCTTCCATTAATTTGTTATACTTCCGGCTTAAAATGTTGGTTGGTTGAATGGTTGGTTGGATGGTTGGTTAGTTGGATGGATGGATGGTTGGATAGTTGGTTGGTTGGTTGGCTAGATGGATGGTTGTTTGGTTGGTTAATTGGTTGTTTAGTTAATTGAGATGTAACAATGACCTCGGGCATAATTAAATTTTTGGTACTCGTTTAAAAAATGTTTAATTCTGTACTTAACGTAATTTTTTGTATTAATAGATGGTTGGGCACCTAACTGAAAGCAGTCTCCTCCGTGTTACTTAATAAAATTTATTTTTTTTTAACTTCTAAATTGCACGATGATACTTGGTATTACGGGACATGACAACTATTTATAACTTTGATGAAGTGATTTTAAGATATATAAAAATTTTCTCAAATTTTTGCTTGAATTTTTTGAAACTTTTCTTATTTATTCAAATTTGTTGTTTATAAATAACGACAAATTTCAATTGACATGTAAGCAGTACATCAAACCAATACAACTTCAATGAAGGTATGTATCGGCAATGATATTGGGAGGGGCAGCAGACGCCATTGGGTATTTTCGTGGAGCTTGGGAATTTGAAAAGTCAGGAGTGGTCATTCATAATGAGTTGAAGAAAATGGGTGGAATAGCGGCTCTCGATGTTAGAAGTTGGTTTGTGTTAACTTGTCAGTACCTACTCATTCAATCGTATGTATGTACTTGGTTTTCCCGTTAGCATCTTTTAATAGCAAATGAGATTTTGACTTCAATTCATTGTTGTCATTTTATACAATTCGTTTTTTACTTTAAACTGCATGTTAAAACTTCGGTACCACCAATACTGTTTTTCAGTCAAATGACGCAATGTAAGTACAGATTCGAAACAAGTCGGCCTAGTTAACAACGCAAAACGTGACTTCTGATTCTAGCGTAGGAGAAAGCTCAACGAATTATAATTTTTTTGTTAGAGTTCAGATTTGTTCTATATTAATCTATATTACATTTTCGAAGACGTGACTAACCTTTACAATAATTTCATTAAAAGAGCCAAAATGGATCATATCTGATGATACTGTCATGCATCTAGCCACAGCTGAAGGTTCAGTAACATTTTTTCAGAAACTGTTTATTTCGACTAACTTGAATAAAACAGCGTATTAGTTGTTGAGACTTAAACAAGTTCAATTTCACGGTTTTTGATGAAATTTTTGATAAATTTAGAAATATCGTTTATATATTTTTTTAAAGCACTAGTCGAATATTGGAAAAGTGGAATAAATGATTTAAAGAAGTTGTATCAGACGGTAGCAAAATATTACCTCAGATGCATGAACGATATGAATGATAGAGCCCCAGGTTAATTGCATTTGTTGTGGCTTGCATTTTATTTGATATAAATACGAAAATCTATATAAATAACTTGCATATTTAACGTTGAACACATATATAGAGCTTATACTGACAAAAGCCCAAAAGGGTCAGTCCATTTACGTGCTTGGAGATTATCTTACATTTTTCTATCGTGAGCTTATAAATTTTTTGTGCTACTAATACGTTTGTTGTTTCATAAAGTTTCGAAAACGCAGGTTTGTCTGCTTAGGTTCTCTGCTTAGTTATGAAAACAAATTCTAAACATCTATATAACACACAAGTATCTAAAATTCTGTCTGCGTGCAGTCATTTGCAAGTCTGATTTGACGGTGTCACGAAATTGTTTGTAGAACTTGAATAAGCTCTTCTCGCGACGACATCGCGAGATGTTACTTCGCAGTCTGAGTTAACCGACTTTATTGTTATTTTTAATTAATTAATTTACTTATTTATTTAAATTTTTGAAATCTTTAGGTAACACCTGCATGTTCTCAACGAATTTATTGAAACCTGATACTCCCGATGGATATATAATTCCTTATGACTCTGGGTTAAAAAAATTAATTTTAAACTTTCGTGCCTATTAGCGCTTTTTTTATTTCAACGATTAGCAAAAAATTAAGTGCAACACAAAAATGGATATGTATGCCTAGATATTTTTACATCCCTGATGCATCCGTGTTTGTAGTCAGTGAATTAATTGTGAATATATAAATGAAACTGTATTAAAACATGAAGACTTAACTGTTTGCACAAAAAGTACATGAGCTAACCATCCATGTCTATTATCTATCTATATTCGTGAATTATTAAGTCTGTTTGCCTGCGTAGAAATATTTGCCTGAGTCTATATGTACGATTTTGATTGATGAGAACATTACCAGTCAATCAAATTTTCTTTTTGTTCAATTATAAAATTGTACTCAGTAAATTTAACACTTCCACACTTGCATTTTTGTATAGATCAAGTTTTTGTTTTGCCAAATTTTTTCTTATTTTTAAAAAATTGGAAATTTTTAATAATTGAAAACGTAAAAACCCAACAGCGGCGGCGGATGTGGTGCGGCTATGAGATCCATGTGTATTGGAATGTACTTTCCAAGGTTTCCCAATTTCAGTCCATTGCATTCATATTTTAACTATTCTGTTTGCGAAAATTTTTTTTATATAAACATGCATGCATATAAATGAAATATGTATGATTAACGTTCTACAAAGGGCTGATCAATTAGATAGATTGGTAGCAGTAAGCGTGGAATGTGGTCGAATGACTCACAATCACCCTACAGGCTATCTCGGGTCACTAGCATCAGCTTTATTCACCCACTACGCTATCCAAGGTTCTTTTTCTACCATTTTGCTTCTTACTCTTTTTAGAATGTTGGAAGTCTTTCAGATTTTTTATTTGTTTAAAATAATCCCAAATCAAAAATGTAAAATTAAAACTGATGCCAAACGCATGAACTAAATGCTGTAAAAATTATTTATTTGAATAAAAAATTTTTTATTTCAACTTAGCCAAAAACATTTTCAACAGCAAGACCAATGGTTTCTTGGGGGGCTGGCCTAATGGAAGCGATTGATTTGGCTTGGGGATACGTTAAAAACGAAGGAAGAGACGTTGAAGAGAATGAGCGCGATTGGTTGGTTTCGTTTTTCCTAATTATTCATTACATTGTAAAACAAAATTTAATTGCATAAATTGTTAGTATTGTGTGAAAAATCCTTTCAACAATAATCATTCATGACATTATTTCAACATATATAAAATTACACTTCATACGATTCAAATATATGAAATAAAGATATCGGATCTCTGCCAATTTTGTGCTATTTAGTGTCTAAATAACAACTCTGGCTGTTTTTTATCGTTACATGCATGACTTTTGAAAATTTATTTCCAACTCAACAGAGCGTTTGTCGAAAAAATGCAAATTTTTATCTATGTAAAATTTAGACTATTTTTTTGTTAAATTAACAACGTGGAAACAATATACAGCAAAGTTTGAAAAACACCGCAATCTCTGGTAAGCAAGTTTTACATAACCTTAATTAGTTGCATAAGCTTATTGGGGTCGGAAGTATGATTAACGCAGTTAAAGTTAGCCTAAATTTGAAGCCACAACCATGGCGATTAAAAAACATAATAAAACGATCGTTCGATTATAAATTTTTACATGTTTTTCAATAAATTCGTTCTATCAAAAAATAGTCGATCAGTTGTCTGCTATCTAGATCTGAACCCTTCATCAACAATTTAAAATTAACGTATCTTCATTCTTATCTTATGTGTTGTATGTGTATTTATTCAAAATGTTTTTCTTAATCAGCCATAAACCTCAATTATTCGCTTAACTATGTAATTTTCATTCATCTCTTTAATTTTGCCTTCTAAAGCTGTTTTTAAATATTTACCCAACATTATTTTTTTTTTGCAAAAATATTTATAAAAGGAGCTATTTCAAGAATGCATGGGGAGACTATTTGAAATTACGTGGTATAATTGATGGAGCCTCCCCACCAACATTTCCGGATAACTTCGATGTTATGGAAAGGGACGTTTTCTACAAGAAAATTAGTTTCCACGGAGATGGAGGTTCTTCTGGACACGACGCTCCAATGATTGCGTTTGTAGACGGCTTCTTCTTGATTAGGCTACCGCCTTTAAATGTTTCTATAATATTTTCAATGGCAACGTTTTTTAGAAAGTTATCAATTGTAACATTTTTTTTCAACTCTCAATCCAATGTTTTCGTTAGAATATCTGAATGAAGTTCTATTTTGTTTGACATCGTTTTGATGGTTTTAAATTGTTCCTCGTGTGATTTGTGATCATTAGACTGGCCATCTACGTTTAAAGGTATGATGCTCTGTTGGCATCTGGAGATAGTTGGGAGGAACTATCGAATCGAGCATTTTTTCACGGTGGTGACAGTGACAGCACTGCCATCATAGCTGCCACATGGTTTGGTATCTTGTATGGGATTAAAGGGGTCCCCACTGGAAATTATCAAGTAAATTGAATATTTTTGGTTTATAGTGTATCATTAGGAAAAATATCATTTTTGTACCGACCGGTAAAACTGACTCGAGTTTGTAACAGACGTATTGACAAATAGAGTTTAGATAATAATTGTCGTTTGGCTTACAGCGTTACCACCACGATTCATATTTTAGATTCTTCATGAACTTTTTTTTGCAAAAGTAGCATTAATTTTAAATGTGCTCGTTTACATCGAACATATAATCGTTATTTTTAAGTTAGTAACACAAAATATGCAAAATTAGAAAAATTATTTCAGAATCTGGAGTACAAGGATCGTCTTGAGAACGCTGGAAAGAACATTTTTGATTTAGTCGAAAAATTATTTGATTGATTTTATTTTCAGTATGACCACATTTTTATATAACAACAAAATTTTGTAATTTGTTAATGTCATTTGCTAAACTATCGCTTAGATACAAGGGCGGATCCAGGAAGTTTGACTGGGGGGGGCGAAAATTTTTAAATAAATATTTTGTAATGTTGAATATATCCATTTTTGATTATAAATTTTAGAATGTAAATTAATTGAATAATATAATGTTTTATGTTTACTTTGATTTATTTATAATTTTTATTACAAATGATCAAAGGAAAATTATGAACGCACCCACGCGGCAAAATACACTTGAAAATTTTTTGAACGCTTCTTCCGTCTGATTTTCATTTTAAAAATTCAAATTTGAGTTGCGCTAGTAATAGTACTGTATAAGTATCATAATTCATAATCATATTTTCAGTTTTTTTTAGAAGATTAATTTAAATATATATGGATCGTTTTGTGAAGCGAACTAAAAGGGCACATCCACCAGGTTAGATCACCATACGATATGAATTTGTTCACTAGTAGCATAGAAATTGTTAAATAAGTGTTCAGAGTTAAGTTAAATTTAGTTTATTTTTTTAGAACTACATGAAGGCGATAGTTACGATAATCATAATGAAAAAGTGATTGTTAAAAATGATGAATCATTTGAGCAAGTAGCTTTGCACGATAATGACGAAGATAACAAGATAAAGAATAATGAAAAAGTCTATCAACAAATGGATTTTGTACATAATAATGATATTGGACTGTATGTGGGCAGCAGTAATAAAACAATTAATGATGATATAAAATTTGAACTTCTACAAAATCCATGGAAACCA